GGCATGAGCGGGGGGGGGGAATGGAGTGGAGGGGGGATTTGAAGGGAAAAGTGGGGGGAGGAGGGGGGAGGAGGGGAGAGGAGAGCAGTTAGGCAAAGGCTTCCACTGATGTGAGCCGGGCAACCGTTCACCTGCCAGGGGGGTCCAGTAAGAGCAAACATTAGTGTGAAGTGTGTTGGTGATGACACGTCTCGAGACAGTGCAGATGCTGTAAGTTTCAGCATGGAGGCGAGGGAGGAGGCCATAAAGAGCGAGAGTTGGAGCCCCCGGATCTCGGCCGTCAAGCTGTCCCTGCCCGAGGCGGAACTGAAGATGGCCCCGAATGCGGAGGGGAGAGGAGTGAGGAGGAATGGGACGAGAGTGGACGAGGAGGAGAATGCGAGAGTACAGTCCATACACGTGACACAGCAGAAACCCTGGCGTCGTGGGAGGAGCACGGGCCTCTGCGATCACAGGGCCACCGCCGCACGGAGATGAGGGAGACGAGGAGAAAGCAGGGAGAGGAGAACGACTAATGGAATATCAATTCGAGGAACACTAAAAAGATGAAGAAGATGACGAATCATAAGAACCATACTGATGAGAAGAAAAAGATGATGACAGGAAAGCGCGCATCGGGAACTAAGGGATGGCATAAACATGAAAACTCGGAGGGTCGCGCGGATGCTTCGGATCGGCACCGGGCCCCCCTCCCGGGCGCGCGGAGCGCGCAAGAGGCGGCGCCGGAGGCGCCGCCAGGGGGCCCCTACTGGGATCCGAGGAAGTCGTGCGGACCTCCGCGTTTGTATGTTTACTCCAGATTTCGTAATAAAAGGGAGGGGGTCTGGACCCTCCAAGACAAGCAATTTCAGACCTCCCCCGTGGGAGAACCCTCCAAAACATCGTCCCCAGACCCCCCAGGCCCTCCAAGATAGCCCGGAAGAGACCCCCCCCCCGAAATGAGACCCCCCTCCTTTTTCTGCTTGCCAGGGCCTGCGGGGCTCGAGCGCCCATGCAAGGAAGCCCGCCGCAGGCGCAATCTGGCCGAAGCAGTCCGCCCGATGGCGATGGCCATGGCGACGGCAGCGATCATTGTTTCCTCCTCTCTTCGAGTAGGGGATCGACTGCAGCATCGACTTACCCCCCCAATTGAAGTGTTCGTCGAATCTACGAGCATTGGACGTCCTGTTTCGTAGACTCGACGACCAAATCAAGTTTGGGGTGAGCCAATTCTGTAGTCGATCTCCTACTCGATCTCTTGCTCAAGCTGCTCGCGGCTTCGACAGAGCCAACCACAGCGAGCCGCCCAGAGCCCGGGTGCGCCGAAGAGGGGGGTCCTGAAGACGAGGGCGGGGGATGCGCTCCATGGCACGAGGCACGTGCGCAGGCGAGTCGGGAGCCAGGGGACGGGCGGGAAGAGGCAGCAGGGGGCCCTAACCTCTGGGGGATCTCGTGCCCCCAGGCACGACACCCACATAACACTCCCCCCTCCGTCCACTGGCGGCTCCCAGTCATACCCCGATCCGGGCACCCTTGGAAGGCTCTCGACGAGGCGCAGCTGCTGGAGAGCACCCCGCGGCGAGAGGACTCCCGGGAACCAGCGCCAACTCCCTCCGAGAGAGCCAACGAAAACGCCCTCCAACGCCCCGTAGTCTCCAGCACCCTCCTGGACGCCCCCAGATCGGGGAGACGTAAGACCCGGGTACGGGAGACTCGGAAATCCCCGACGAGGTCGTCAAAAAAATGACGAGGCCGAGCCTGCATTTTGACGAGGCCTCCCGCTGCAAACATCCCACGAAACTCCTCCTCGTCAAAATCCGAGGCGCGGTCGTCAAAAAACGATGGCGAACCCGAGTCCTGGCAAACCCGGGTCTTACGCTCCCCCGACCAGAGAGCGCCAGCCAGCGGAGGGCCGCCGCGAGTGCCGGCGGGAGCGGCGGCGAGGCTCCCGCTCGGCAGCGGCGGACTTGCATTCAGTCGGGCCTGTCTCCCTCCAGGCGGATTTTGGGCGAAAAACAATCAAAAGATGCACCCAAATTGTCAAACATGCGCAAAAAAATCGTCCTCAGACTATTTTGAGTTTGGAACTATTTTTTTAATTTTCCCCCTGTAGAGGGACAGGCCCGACTTACGACTTGCAGTAGCTACAGTGTGCGCTGCAGGGCTCAGCGCTCAGGAAGCAGGGCGCCCAGCACGAAGGGGAACAGCAGCTGCACGATTGAGCGCAATTTTGGTAGCCTCTCGTCGTGACGACCCTGGCACTGGTCTCTGACCCCGCGCGGATCTTCCAACCTCGGCAGATCGGCGCCTGTTCCATCGCACGATCCTTCCACAGTTGCCGATTCTGGGCCCATGGCGGCGTTCAACATTGAGCGCCCGCGGCACGGTCGCCGCCGCGCCGACACGACGCGAACCTGCCGTAGACGTTCGGAGGTCTACGCGGATGGCCCATGTCACCCGACTCCCCGTATCGCGCCCCGCTCCCAGAGAAAGGCAGCTCTCCAGTCCAGGCCGCGACGCGCGAAGCGCAATCATCTTCGCGCCCCTGGGGCTGACCTATATGGCTTCGACGGTCCGCGCTGGTCCTCCCCTGCCCTGGCACGCGCAGCCGCCACCAGGGGCGACGCCGGAGGCGCCGCCCTGGGGCGGGGACCCAACGCCCGCCGGCGTAAAGAATCCGCGCGAACCAATCCGCGCGCAGCAAGGGGACCTGGGCAGGCGTTGCGTGCTTGGGGACGCCTGCCCCGCCCCACGAACCAGAACTGCCGTCACGAAGAAACACAATCTGCGGCAGACCTGGTGCAATGATTCCGGTCCCGCGGCCAGCGGCGCCTCGCGGCAAGCCTCCGTTGGCGTTGGGGCGGAGGCGGCGGGGGCTACCCCGCGTCCGCGAGCTCGGAGGTCGTGCCCCAAGGTCTCGAGGAAAGGTGGGCGCGGATGCGTGTCCGCCCTCCCCTGCGGTCGATGGCGGAACCCGGACCTCTCCTGGGATCCGTTCTGACCGGGATTTCGACGCGAATCCAGCGGTGGCGACGAGGGCCTCCTAGGAAGAGCAACGGTAATACCGCTACTCTTCCCCTAGGAGGCCCTCGTCCTTCCTCCTCCTTCCTTCCTCCTCCTGGGTTACCTCTTCCTCCTCCCACCTTCCCTGACCGGGATTTCGACGCGAATCCAGCGGTATGGGTTACCTCTTCCTCCTCCCACCTTCCCTGGGGTCCTGGCTATCCGGCTTGCACAGCTCACATTAGTGCAGCTGCTGGTGGCTGTCCCCCGGCGGGCCGGCGCGTCCGCGCGGGTCCGCCAGCCGTCAGGAGGAGCCCCGGGGCAGCTCCGGCGGAGGCTGCTGCCTCAAGATCCGCCGGGCTTGGTGCTGCCAGTTGGCCACCATCACCCTGCCGCAGTGGGCCCTCGCCGCGGGGTGCAGGCCGTGCTGGTCGTAGCCGTCGTCGCGGCCGCTCCGGACGAAACCGAAGCAGTTAAGCTCGGGGGCGTTGTCGATGATCGGTGGATAAAAAATGGCATAAGCATCAACATTAAGAGCTCCGCGAGGATTTCTTGGATCGGCACTGGACCCCCCTCCTTCCTGGCGCGCGGAGCGCGCCAGTGGCGGCGCCAGAGGCGCCACTGGGTGGGCCCAACGCAGATCCGAGGAATCCGCGCGGAGCTCCGAAAATCTATGATCATGCAGTTTTTTGTCCCTCGGGATGAAGCCCTCGAGGTCGGTGCCTGAGCATCGTCTAACCGATCCCTACCCCCACCAGCGTGGCCTGGGCCCCACTGGCCGATTTACCGCCGCAGATGAGGATATAGGCTGTTGCCTTCGGGACGGTGGGGATCGGACTGGGGACCCAACCACGGACGTCATGTTGTGTCATAACGTCGGCCCCGAGAGGTCTCGACATATTCCGCGGGACCGGTTTTTCATCCTGAGTCCTTGTTTGACGGTCCCGAGGCGCGGGAAGGGCCCCCGGAAGCCGAGCAGTGGAGAACTTCCGTGAGGATGTTGTTCATGACTCGAGGGGGTCTGGGGACGCGGATGGGGATCGGTTGAACGGTACAGAGTGCCGTGGTCGTCGGACGCGGGCCGCGACACGTCGGAGCTCTCCGAGTCTACGGGGCTGCTCGGCTCGTCGCCACGCTCCTCGGCCTCGCGCTGGCTCCGGAAGGCGTCGCGGAAGGGGGCCTCCGCCTCAACGGGGTGGGGCGCAGCACGCGCGACGAAGGACGCGCGTTGCCGGCTGGCTAGCCGACAGTAAAAGAAGACGCTCATGAGGCCAGGGGGCTTCCGAGCCTTCTGAATAGGCCCTCTCCTTCTCACTTCCCTCCCTCGCTCGCCGCCGACAGAAGGCACGTGAGCAAGACTCTTATGCAGCCACATCCGCAGCCTCGAGGTGATGCGCGACGCGGGCCGAAGCGAGGAGCGAGAGGAGGAGCGCAGGGGGTCTGCCGACCAAAGCTGGCGGAAGGTGGAGGACCAACAAAGCTGCATAAGTATGAACTGTCGGAACTCCGCGTGGATTTCTCGCCTCGGCGCTGGCCCCTCCCAGGACGATGCTCAGGCACCTACCTCGAGGGCTTCATCTCGAGGAACAGGAAAATGCACGATCCAACATTTTTGTAGCTCCGCGCGGATTCTTCGGATCTGCACTGGGCCCTCCTAGCGGCGCCTCTGGCACTCCCCCTGGCGCGCTCCGCGCGCCAGGGAGGGGGGGGGCCGTCGGTCGCTCCATGGGCTCGCGATTCCTCCTCCTCCTCCTCCTCCTCCTCCTCCTCCTCCTCTTCCTCCTACCTTTTCCTCATCATCCTCCTCGGTCGCTCTTCCTCACGTGATCCTCGAAAGGTTTCAACGACGGCAGGGGGAACACATGGTCCGATATATTGGCCAAGCTCTAGCCCAACTTTCGGCGCGCATAGGCGCTTCCAAAAAGGCAGGGGGCGGCGGTGATTCGCCGAAGGCGTCTTCGATACCCACGCGACCCCGGTGCGCGGAGCGCGCCAGGGGCGCTTCGGAAGCCCGCCGGCCCTTTTGTGTCCCTCGCCGATGCTCTCCGCGCAATCAGCGCCCCTAAAGCAGCCAAGTATCTGTATTATGGCTGATGCGCATGGGGGATCGGATCACCCAAACCTAGCAGCTCCGATGGCACGCAGTGCCCAAGAGGCTCCCGCACCTCCATGTGAAGGGGGATGTAGCCTCGAGGAGTGATGAGGAACAGCAGCAGCAAGGATGAGGGAAACATGTGCGATGGGTGGCTGGCCGCCAAGCGATGGGCCCTCAAATGCCCCTGTAATTGAGAAAGCGAAGCTCGCAGCAGCCGCGCCTGGGAGGTGAGCCTACAACAAGGCCAAACGCACTTGTAGACACGTGGAAGACAGGCCACCGGCACACGGTTGGCGCCGTGCTACTCGCGGGGCGGGATCGCCCCGACTCGCTCAAACTGGAGAAAAAAAAAGCCTCCTCGCGGGGCGCACGACTCCGGGGAGGATGCCCGCCGGCGGCTCCCGCTGCCGTGCCGTGGCGCCTGGCTGCCTCAGCGCGCGCCGCAGCGGGCCGCCGCGGGCCGCGCCCCCCGCTCAGAGCGCCGCGGCGGCGGCGAGGGCGAGCGCGCCGAGGCCGCCCCAGGCCGGGCCCGGCGCCCCCGAGACGATCTGCGCCTGCCCCGGGCTCCACGCGGTGCTGTAGCAGCCGGTGGCGCCGTCGTGCGAGTAGGCGGCGCCCTCGGTGCCCGTGAGGCCGATGAGGGACATCATCCCCTCGTCCTCGTGCGAGAGGATGTGGCAGTGAACGACCATGCTCCCTGTGAACCTGTCGACATTCATCCGGACCGTCGCGTCGACGTCGAGCATCAGTGTGTCGTGCCAGTCGCCCGCCTGGTAGTAGCCGCTGTCGCGGGAGCTCTCCCCGCTCATGTCCTGGATCTGGTACGGGTTCACGTGCAGGTGCAACGGGTGTCCATTGAAAGAGACACTCCACTCGTACACTGACCCGACTGTGAACTCCGTAATTGGCGGCCACTCCTTCATGGTGTAACCGGTCCCGTTGTTCCCGGCCTTCATGTTCTGGTAGGTCATGCTCGTGCCTTCCCCGTCCCAGGTGACCGCGCGCAAGGGGCCCGAGAGCACCATGTGCGCCCCCGACTGCCCATTCGGCACGCTCGCCTGCCGAAGGTCGGCGAGATAGCACGGGCGGTCCGGCGAGAACACCGGGAGCTCCTGGACCGTGCCGCCGGCCGTCTCCGTGATGACGATCTTGAGGACGGTCACCTCTGCCACATCGGCGGTGGCATCGTCCGTGGGAGCGTCGTTGGTCTGGCCATCCGCGCCGGGTTCGACGGTGGTCGCGGGCCCATCGGTGGTCGTCTGGGGGTCTGACATCCTGCGGGAGATCTGGTCCGTGGGGAACGGCTGGGACCTCAGAACCGCTCTGCAGGGGTACGTCGCACAGGTGCAGGACATGGCGATGTCCGCGCGGGCCCCGGGAACGAGGTCGGCTCTGTCGATCTTCCTCGGGATCTCGTTGAGGTAGACGCCGTCTTTTGCGATCAAATACCACGAGCAATTGGCCAGCCCGCTTTCTCTCGGGTCCACGTGCAGCCTGAGGCCCTGCTGCACCGCCGCGAAGACGGTGCGCAGGCGGTACCACACGTGCGAATTGATGCTCATGGTCGGAGCGAGCTGGCCGTTCACGAGAAAGACGTTCTCGGCGTACCCTTCGGCCGCCGCGATGGCAGACGCGTTCTCCAGCAGACCGGAATGCGCCATCTGGGCGATGTTCTCGAGCGCGGCCAGATTGTGGTTCGATATGACGAGGACCTTCTCGACCATGCTGGCGTACACCTCGGGCAGGTAGCCGGGAGGGTCGTCGACGATGAGCGCACCAGCGGCTCCGCCACCCGCCTGAAGGGCGGTGGCGTGGTGGTGGTGCGGGTGGTACCAGTGCGTGCCGCCCATGTGGTAATCCGGGATGGTGAACTCGTACTGCCGGCTTGCGCCAGGCTCCACCGCCAGGGACACGTCGTCGCTGGAGACGCCGCGCTCGTCCGGGCCCGCGGGGGAGGTGTGCAGGCCGTGCGTGTGAAGATTGGTGGTGGCGGCCTCGCAGTATTCTGTCCCTGTGACGTCGCAGCCGACATTGTGCTCGGCGGACAAGCTGTTTTGTAGCTTGATGCGGAGGGACTCGCCCGGCTGCACGCGGAACGTCGGCCCGTTGACGTACACGCGCGTCGGCAGATTGGGGAGAAGCAGGCCCTCTCCCATCTCGAGCGTGTACTCGCCGTCTGCTGCGTGGACCTCGGATGGGTAGGCCAGCTCGTGATAACGGCGTCGCCCGGATGTGGCGGCCACGCCGGGCGCCAAGGCCACCGCCGCAACGAACGATTGGCGCAGCATGGTCCTGGCGCAATGCGCTCCCCGCTCGGACCTCCTCTTCAGCCGAGGCTTGAATCCAAATGGACCGGTGTCTTGAGCCAAAGTGGCTACGGACGGAAGCCTGCCGGCCATCTGAGATGAAGGGGCCCAGGGACACACTAAGAAATAGACACAAATCCCAGGACTCCACATGTCTTCCATATTTTCTGGGCGTGCCTCTGCTCCCCCACTTCACATAATTGCTCTATTTTCATGAGAACCGACGACTCTTGGTGCCTGTGTTTTCCCCCTCCTGATGTCTTCGGAGACGGCTTAGGAAACTGCTAGGAAGGCCGGAGGCCTTCTGAGCCGGGCCTTCTGAGACGGCCCGCCCCCTCTGCATCCCCCCTGGGCGCGGCGCCGAACGGGCCCGGGCCGCCCCATGGGGTCGAAGTAGACGGGGTCGGTGGACCGCGCCGCATCGCCGATGCATCAGCGATGCGTCTCGAGGTCGAGCCCGATGTGGAGCAGCGGGCTCGCCGACAACCTTGTCCTCACCCCCCTCTTGGACGCCCCGTGGTCGGAGGAATAGCTGTCGATCGGGACGATCGGGGCACCCCTGGAAGTCTCTCGACGAGGCGCAGCTGCCAGAGAGCAGGAACTTGCCAAAACTCCATCCGATGATACCAGAGAAAAACTCCAATCAGAATTTGGGGGGGGCTATGGGGCTTTAGGGCTTTAGGGCTATGGGGCTATAGGGCTATAGGGCGATGTGGCCATAGGGATATAGGGCTAGAAACCTTTTAGGGCTATGGGGCTATAGGGCTACAGGGCTATATGGCTAAGGGCTATAATGCGATTCGGGCTATAGGGCTATATACGGCTATAGGGTTTTAGGACCATAGGGCTATAGGGCGGTAGGGCTATAGGGCTATAGAGCTATGGGGCTATGGGGCACTGGGGCTATTGGGCTATAGGGCTATCGTAGGTGAGGGGGTGAGATCCAAGTGGAACGGCGAGCCCCCCACCGGGATATCGGTTTCGGTTTCGTGTTCGTGCGTGCCGTGCGTGCGAGGCGAAGCTGCGTGGGCGGGCGGGAAAAAGTCTCCTGTGGCTGAGGCGCGGCCGGACCAAATGTTTCTCTTCCGGGGCGCGGGTCCCCGCGGTGTCCCGCCGGTGTCCCGCGGTGTCCTCCTGTGGCTGAGGCGCGGCCGGACCAAATGTTTCTCATCCGGGGCGCCGGGCCCCGCGGTGTCCCGCCAGAGTCCGGCGGTGTCCCGCGGTGTCCCGCGGAGTCCCGCCGGTGTCCCGCGGTGTCCCGCGAGGATCATGATGATGAGATGATGATGATGATGACGATGACGATGACGATGATGATGATGATGATGATGATGAGATGATGATGATGGTGTCCCGATGAGCATGATGATGATGTTGATGGTGGTGTCGATGATGATGAAAGTGTCCCGATGATAACGATGATGATGTTCATGATGATTATGTTGAAGGTGTCCCGATGATGGTGATGATGGTGTTGTCATGACGATGGTGGTGTCCCGATGATGATGATGATGATTCCGATGATGTTGGTAATGATGATATTGATGGACATGGTGACCGGGCGATGATTATGGTGTCCCGATGATGATGCGGATGATGGTGATGATGATGGTGATGATGATGACGATGCTGATGGTGACCCGATGAGAATAATAATGCGAATGACGATGTTGATGATGATGTTGCTCATGATGGTGATGGTGCCCCAATGATGATGATGTTGTTGATGGTGCGATGATCATTATGATGATGGTGTCCCGAGGATGATGACGATGTTGATGAGAATGTTGATGATGAGAACGATGGTGATCATGATGGCGTCCCGATTATGATGGTGATTCTGATGATGCTGCTGATGATGATTATGATGACTGTCCCGATGGTGATGATGATGATGATGCTGATGGGGTGATGATGGTGATGATGGTGATGATGACGAGGATGTTGTCCCGATGATGATGCTGACGTTGATGGTGATGTTTATGATGATGATGACGGCGCCCTCATGATGATGACGATGTTGGTGATGATGTTGATGTTGATGATGTTGATGATGATGATGATGATGGCACAGCCCCTTTCAAGCTCCAGATCCCCAGGAGCTCACATCACCGTTGAAACAGAGCTCGAATGTGGGGTTTCCGCTTCGAGATAGCCCTCGCACGAGCTGTGTAGAAGGCGAGCATGCGCTCAGGGCCGAACCGTTTCAGGCTCCTGAGAGAATTGAACGTGCTGAATAAGAGATCGTGAGCTAGCATGGTAGAGTACAAGGCATGAGAGGAGGACGTATTATGACTGTGCAGCAGCAAGCGATCCTGGGCCGCCCCGGGGAGGAAGTCAGCGGGAAGATGGGGCAGAACAAGACAGAGTGGCTCGAGGGCACGAGGGCAGTCAAAATAGTGGAGGATGTGAACGCCCCCAAACGCTCTGCATCCGAACAGACAGGCATTCCGCCCCTAACGATACCTAGCACTGGTGGCCCAGGAATTACAGACACCTTTCAATCTCGCAGTGGGGCAAGTTTGGTGTTGGCAAGCTTGATGCGCATTACAATTAAATCAGCCTTGGGAAGCTGAGCAGCGCTGTCAAAATGTCTGAAACGAGGGAGGAGGGTTAAAGTGGCAAAGATTGGTGCCTGCCTACGGCTCAGTAGGGCATTCACTTTTTTTATGCCGCATGTCTGTGTCGGGGCCATATATCATCATGGGAATCGCAGTCAGCTGGTTGTAGTTGGTAATCAAGGAGAAACAAATACTGGATTCGTACCACTCTGTGTGACGTGGAACTGCTAGCCGATCAGTCTCCTCGTCCTCCAGCCAAGCAAACCTTCCTCGCACTTCGGAGAATTATCGAGATTTTAGGGCGGCCCGATACATACTGGCTCTGGCTTCTCTCTGGACGTCTCTGGGGTCGTGGGGAAAACAGAGCACCGACGGGGGCCTCATAACATCGGCAGGAATGGAATTCCTGGGAGCGGATGCTAGAAGCTGATGGGCTTCTTTCTCTTTTTTTCAAGACAGCCGGTGGAGCCCGGCACAGCTGGCCCACAAAGCTGAGCACGGAGAAGGCCAGCGAGTTGCAGGCAATGATATTCTGACAGAACCCTAGGGATTGACCTTTGATGTGCCAGAAACGCTCGATGTATTTGGTCCTAGGAGCGCCCCAGGATACCGTGGGCCCCTTCGGGCCGATGTAAACTCCCAGGTGCTTGCCGAAGGTGTCGACCCGATGCGGCCTAGCTTGAATGCCAGATCCACGAAACATCACGCACACATCTCTCCTGGAGTATGGCACAGCAAATACCAGTGAGCACTTACCTGGGCTCAGGATCAGGCCCGTCACCATCGCGGCCTGCGAGAGCATTCTCAGCACGACGGGGAGCGTGCGGACAAGGTCGCAAGAAACAATGCCTATGTCGTCCGCGAATGCAAAAGGCCGAGCCGGGGGAGTCATAACTGAATACATGCACTTGAAAATGGGATCAGCAGCTAGAGCAAATGGCACACCAGATAATGAACATCCCTGCTTAATACCTCGTGTGATATAGTAGCCCCTGAATGCGCCTCCTCCTAGTCTGATAATTGTGTAAATAGCGCGACGCAGCTGTTGAACAGCGCCCGCGACATGTTCAGGGATAAGCATAGGTTGTAGCACGGTCAGGATCTATGCATGCGCTAGGCTCGGGAAAGCAGCGGCAAAGTCAAGCAAAAAGAGGCCAGCTCGATCGGCTCCTTGAAACACTGCATGCTCCAAAAAGTCACTCTATCAGCGTTATGTTGTCAAGCGTACTCCTGCCTTTGATAAAACCATTCTGGTTTCTGCGCATAGAAAACTAAGCCTGTTGACCAAAAGGAATACACAGCAGCAAAGCGAAGGTTTTATTATCAGCATTGCCCAAAAAGAACGGACGGGTCTCCTTTGCTTTTTGTCTGCGCATCCCTCAGAGAGTCGCCCTAGAGATTTCTGGCCAGGAAGACCTGGCCCCACGGTTGAAGCCTCCAGGAAGAGAGCGACCAGACATAAGACTCAAAAATGCTTGGCATCAGATCTCCGTGCACTCGATGCTACACTTTGCCCAGCCTGAGCACGGGATGCCATCGGGACCTGCCGCAGCGTCTTTCTTGCGATGAAGAAAGCCGAGCATGTCAGAGAGCGGGACAATCCAGTTTATCCCAGGAGAAACTTTCTGGCAGTGAGCTAGTAGCATCTCTGAAATGCGCGGGGGCGCGCCCGGCGCATCAGCGGCGGAATGCACGCGGCCCCAGTGTTCAGCAAGCCGGGCGGCGCTGCCCTCTAAACTGGTGGGCGCGCGCCCTTGGTTGCCCAGGATGTCCACGAGCGAAATGCGCCTGTGCTTGGGAGACCAGGCCTTCAAAAGTTTGCGCAGCTTGACTGTGCGCTCGTCGTCGTACTGGTACTATGGGGGCTGCTCGTGCTCACGGGGCCCAAGAACCAGGATGCGCTCTTGCATGAGGCGGATGTGCTCGTGGGGCCTCGCCTGATCTATGATGTGATCGTGCTGCTCATCTGTGAGCTGTGCAACTTGGTCGTGAACGCGCGCGCACTTGCGCATGATGTGGTTTCGCCCGTTCGCACTGGCGCGCATGCATTTCAAACAAACCATGAGACGATGAGTATCCGCTTGTACACCATAACGGTAAATGCGTGACTTAATCTCCGCTGTCGCTGTACGCATGCACTCTTCGATCCCTTCTAGAGCGAAGGGGGTCCGTGGAGAGGTCAATTTGGGCCCGAGCTTCATCCACCAGCTGTGCAAATTCAGGGTGAGCGGTCACCCAAGATGGCACACTGGCCTGGGACCGAAGCCCTGGAGAAAAAACGAACGAAGACAGGAACATGATCATTCGGCTCGCCAGCTTTCAAGACGCGCCCAATGATTCCAGCAGTAGGCCTGGCCTCCAGGACTGTAGCCGTGGCAGAAAAAGTATATCTGCGATCAAAGTCCCAGAGACTGAATATCTTCCCCAAGGTCCCCTGTCCTATGCGTGGGCTCGTCTTGCGCCATCTCGAGCGCGTTCGGGAAGAGCTCGCGAAAGCGCAGAAAGAGAGCAGGACGTTCAGGACGCTGGTACTCACCATCAGTCATGATCCGGGTCTCCTGACTCTAGGAAGTTAAAATCGCCTGCAAGGAAAATCAAACACGAGCTGCTGCGAGGGAGGGTCTCAGCGAACTTTTCGAGAACAGAAAACTTCTCAGCATCATTGAGAGCGGGATCGAGGTGTATACGGTAGACTTTGAGGTCACCCTGAGGTCCTTGGAGAGAGAGGAGACGGCCGTGCTCATGCTCGCAATGCTCCACATTCGTGAAGTTGGCAAGGAAGGAGTTGGCCACGCTGACCGTAGCCCCACCCGCATTCGGGTTCTCGCAAAACGTGCCGAAGTGCGCGTGCATGGGATAATCCCTGCGCAGGGTCTCGAGGTCAGCATCTGTTCCATGTGTTTCTTGCATGAGTATAATGGTTTGTGTTTTGATAAGAGTGCGGAACTGGCGCATCCGATTTCTCTGCCGTCTGTGGTCGCCATACACACTTCCAAAGAAGGCTCTTGAATTCCATGTGATTTTCGCCAGGTGCTACTTTATCTGCCACGGACATTCAATGATAATGTCTGCACTGCTGCCCAATGGGGGAAGGAGGAGGAGGAGGAGAGCTGCGCTGAAATCGCTTCCCAAGACTGCGAACGAGGGCGGGGGCGTGCGAGGGAGTATCAGCAGTATAGGCAACAAAAACAGATGCGGCAGCATCGGCATCTTCAACAGAACATGGCGCGCCTACTTCCTACTCGTGGTAGGCGCTGTTGACCGCGGCAGGCAAGCCCTGGACCTGCTGCTCTGCGAGGCCGAAGTTGCGCATTTCCTGAACGCATGTCTCGACCATCACCTCCGATTCAGTCCATGACGAGAGCATCGCCAAAACAATCGGCTCGTCGCGCACGGTGGTGTAGCATAGGCCCTGGCACTTGTTGCAGGCGAGCAATGTCGTAGATGTCCAGCAACCGTTCGTGCGCATGTATGCGCAGATATGCTTCCAGACGAGCCCGAGTATGTAGCCCTTCTTCTTAATGTCGTATGGTTCGTCGAAACCGATGCGCAGGTCATGCTGCGCGCCAGTTGAGGCGTGGGTGAACTTGATAGGGTGGTCGCGAGCCCGCTCGTAGAAAGACTTTGCGTGCTCCTGCGATTCAAGCTTGATAGCATATGCAAGTCGTAGGCTCTGACAGTGTGGCACACATTTGTCGCGATACTCCTGAGGCATATTGGTTTTGAGGATCGCAAAGTGTCGTTCGAATGCATTATTCAGCTGCTTCTTTGGAGATCCACGAATCCAAATCTTCGTCTTGTCAGCAGGCACTGTCGGTCGCACCGAGGATGGAGTCGTGGATGGTGGAGCAGTCGAGCGCCCCGATGCAGAGCCACGTACGGCGGCCCATGGGTCAGAGGACGGCTGGTCCATTTTGCGCTGCATCTCCGCGAAGCTGGCCTCTAAACTTTGCAATCTCGCTGACGCCGAGTATGTGCTTGCCATCCCATCAACCTGCTCCATCTCCGTATATGTTCCCTGTTGCTGTCTCTGAAGTTTGAGCTCCAGCTCGTCCATGCGCACGCTGTGGGCCTGAATGTCATCCTTCATGGAGTTGATGGTGGCTGTGTTCTGCTGAACCCCTGCAGAAAGCCGCCCATCCATCTCTTTGATGGCCGTCAAATTGCCAGCGAGCGTTGCGTTCATCGAATCCATCTTGGCATTTAGCGGCCTAAGAGTCTCATTCAGCATGAACCGAAGAGCCGCTGGGTCGAGAGCCATCGCATCAAAGGAGAGCTGCACTCGTTGGCGGGTGCGATACACAGAGGCAAAATGCGTGCGGGTGAGAAGGGAAGAAAATGCGGTGACCCCTGTCTTTGGGGCCTCTCCAGGGTCACACACGCGCGCGGCGGGCGCTGGCCACTTGAGACGGGGGGTTGAGTTCCCGATATGGCCTTGAGCCATGATGATGATGATGATGATGATGATGATGATGATGATAGTGATGATGATGACGTTGATTGTGAGAGCGATTGTGATATCGATAGTGAGAACGATATTGAGACCGAATGCGAGATCGATTGTGTGATCGATTGTGAGATCAATTGTGAGATCAATTGTGAGATCGATCGAATGAGATAAATCGAGTGGGATCAATTGTGAGATCGATCGAGTGATATCGATCGAGCGAGACCGATAGTGAGATCGATACTGGGATCGATAGTGAGACCGATCGAGTGAAACGTTGGTTCCCCCCCCGAACCTCCTTATCACCCGAAGGGTGGTCGTGTAGGTACGGCTATAGAGCTGTAGGGCTATAGTGCTACAGGGATATATGGCGATTGGGCTATTGGGCTATAGGGATATAGGGTTATTGGGCTAGGCACCCCCGGGCACTTCTGGGCACCCCGGGCACCCGGGCACCCCTGGGCACCCGGGCACCCCCGGGCTCCCCGGGGCACCCGGGCACCCGGCCCCGGCCACCGAGATCGGCCACACACCTCGGCACCCGGGCACCCCCGGGAACCCCCGGGCACCCGGGCACCCGGCCCCGGCCACCGAAATCGGCCGCCCACCTCACCTCAGCTTTATGTCCGCTAGGACCCCTATAGAGGCAAGCTCTGATTGGGGAATAGTCAACGATCACGTTCGCGCACGCCCCCCTTCAGTCCTCCTGGACGCCCCCCGTCCGAAAGGCCTGAACGGCCGAGGAGGTACGAGGACGGCGCGCATAGGCGTTTCCAAAAAGGCAGGGGGCGGCGGTGATTCGCCGAAGGCGTCTTCGATACCCACGCGACCCCGGTGCGCGGAGCGCGCCAGGGGCGCTTCGCAAGCCCGCCGGCCCTTTTGTGTCCCTCGCCGATGCTCTCCGCGCAATCAACGCCCCTAAAGCAGCCAAGTATCTGTATTATGGCTGATGCGCATGGGGGGATCACCCAAACCTAGCAGCTCCGATGGCATGCAGTGCCCAAGAGGCTCCCGCACCTCCATGTGAAGGGGGATGTAGCCTCGAGGAGTGATGAGGAACAGCAGCAGCAAGGATGAGGGAAACTTGTGCGATGGGTGGCTGGCCGCCAAGCGATGGGCCCTCAAATGCCCCTGTAATTGAGAAAGCGAAGCTCGCAGCAGCCGCGCCTGGGAGGTGAGCCTACAACAGGGCCGGACGTGCTTGTGGACACGTGGAAGACAGGCCACCGGCACACGATTGGCGCCGTGCTAGTCGCGGGGCGGGATCGCCCCGACTCGCTCAAATTGGAGAGAAAAAAAAGAAAGCCTCCTCGCGGGGCGCACGACTCCGGGGAGGAGGCCCGCCGGCGGCTCCCGCTGCCGTGCCGTGGCGCCTGGCTGCCTCAGCGCGCGCCGCAGCGGGCCGCCGCGGGCCGCGCCCCCCGCTCAGAGCGCCGCGGCGGCGGCGAGGGCGAGCGCGCCGAGGCCGCCCCAGGCCGGGCCCGGCGCCCCCGAGACGATCTGCGCCTGCCTCGGGCTCCACGCGGTGCTGTAGCAGCCGGTGGCGCCGTCGTGCGAGTAGGCGGCGCCCTCGGTGCCCGTGAGGCCGATGAGGGACATCATCCCCTCGTCCTCGTGCGAGAGGATGTGGCAATGAACGACCATGCTCCCTGTGAACCTGTCGACATTCATCCGGACCGTCGCGTCGACGTCGAGCATCAGAGTGTCGTGCCAGTCGCCCGCCTGGTAGTAGCCGCTGTCGCGGGAGCTCTCCCCGCTCATGTCCTGGATCTGGTACGGGTTCACGTGCAGGTGCAACGGGTGTCCATTGAAAGAGACACTCCACTCGTACACTGACCCGACTGTGAACTCCGTAATTGGCGGCCACTCCTTCATGGTGTAACCGGTCCCGTTGTTCCTGGCCTGCATGTTCTGGTAGGTCATGCTCGTGCCTTCCCCGTCCCAGGTGACCGCGCGCAAGGGGCCCGAGAGCACCATGTGCGCCCCCGACTGCCCATTCGGCACGCTCGCCTGCCGAAGGTCGGCGAGATAGCACGGGCGGTCCGGCGAGAACACCGGGAGCTCCTGGACCGTGCCGCCGGACGTCTCCGTGATGATGATCTTGAGGACGGTCACCTCTGCCACATCGGCGGTGGCATCGTCCGTGGGAGCGTCGTTGGTCTGGCCATCCGCGCCGGGTTCGACGGTGGTCGCGGGCCCATCGGTGGTCGTCTGGGGGTCTGACATCCTGCGGGAGATCTGGTCCGTGGGGAACGGCTGGGACCTCAGAACCGCTCTGCAGGGGTACGTCGCACAGGTGCAGGACATGGCGATGTCCGCGCGGGCCCCGGGAACGAGGTCGGCTCTGTCGATCTTCCTCGGGATCTCGTTGAGGTAGACGCCGTCTTTTGCGATCAAATACCACGAGCAATTGGCCAGCCCGCTTTCTCTCGGGTCCACGTGCAGCCTGAGGCCCTGCTGCACCGCCGCGAAGACGGTGCGCAGGCGGTACCACACGTGCGAATTGATGCTCATGGTCGGAGCGAGCTGGCCGTTCACGAGAAAGACGTTCTCGGCGTACCCTTCGGCCGCCGCGATGGCAGACGCGTTCTCCAGCAGACCGGAATGCGCCATCTGGGCGATGTTCTCGAGCGCGGCCAGATTGTGGTTCGATATGACGAGGACCTTCTCGACCATGCTGGCGTACGCCTCGGGCAGGTAGCCGGGAGGGTCGTCGACGATGAGCGCACCAGCGGCTCCGCCACCCGCCTGAAGGGCGGTGGCGTGGTGGTGGTGCGGGTGGTACCAGTGCGTGCCGCCCATGTGGTAATCCGGGATGGTGAACTCGTACTGCCGGCTTGCGCCAGGCCCCACCGCCAGGGACACGTCGTCGCTGGAGACGCCGCGCTCGTCCGGGCCCGCGGGGGAGGTGTGCAGGCCGTGCGTGTGAAGATTGGTGGTGGCCGCCTCGCAGTATTCTGTCCCTGTGACGTCGCAGCCGACATTGTGCTCGGCGGACAAGCTGTTTTGTAGCCTGATGCGGAGGGACTCGCCCGGCTGCATGCGGAACGTCGGCCCGTTGACGTACACGCGCGTCGGCAGATTGGGGAGAAGCAGGCCCTCTCCCATCTCGAGCGTGTACTCGCCGTCTGCTGCGTGGACCTCGGATGGGTAGGCCAGCTCGTGATAACGGCGTCGCCCGGATGTGGCGGCCACGCCGGGCGCCAAGGCCACCGCCGCAACGAACGATTGGCGCAGCATGGTCCTGGCGCAATGCGCTCCCCGCTCGGACCTCCTCTTCAGCCGAGGCTTGAATCCAAATGGACCGGTGTCTTGAGCCAAAGTGGCTACGGACGGAAGCCTGCCGGCCTTCTGAGATGAAGGGGCCCAGGGACACACTAAGAAATAGACACAACAAATCCCAGGACTCCACATGTCTTCCATATTTCCTGGGCGTGCGTCTGCTCCCCCACTTCACATATTTGCTCTATTTCCATGAGACCCGACGACTCTTGGTGACTGTGTTGTCCCCCTCCTGATGAGAAGCTCTTTGTGACTTCGGAGACGGCTTAGGAAACTGCTAAGAAGGCCGGAGGCCTTCTGAGCCGGGCCTTCTGAGACGGCCCGCCCCCTCTGCATCCCCCCTGGGCGCGGCGCCGAACGGGCCCGGGCCGCCCCATGGGGTCGAAGTAGATGGCCGGGGTTGCTGGACCGCGCCGCATCGCCGATGCATCAGCGATGCGTCTCGAGGTTGAGCCCGATGTGGAGCAGTGGGCTCGCCGACAACCTTGTCCTCACCCCCCTCTTGGACGCCCCCTGGTCGGAGGAATAGCTGTCGATCGGGACGATCGGGGCCCCCCTGGAAGTCTCTCGACGAGGCGCAGCTGCCAGAGAGCAGGAACTTGCCAAAACTCCATCCGATAGTCAACGATCACGTTCGCGCACGCCCCCCTTCAGTCCTCCTGGACGCCCCCCGTCCGAAAGGCCTGAACGGCCGAGGAGGTACGAGGACGGCGCGCATAGGCGCTTCCAAAAAGGCAGGGGGCGGCGGTGATTCGCCGAAGGCGTCTTCGATACCCACGCGACCCCGGTGCGCGGAGCGCGCCAGGGGCGCTTCGGAAGCCCGCCGGCCCTTTTGTGTCCCTCGCCGATGCTCTCCGCGCAATCAACGCCCCTAAAGCAGCCAAGTATCTGTATTATGGCTGGTGCGCATGGGGGGATCGGATCACCCAAACCTAGCAGCTCCGATGGCATGCAGTGCCCAAGAGGCTCCCGCACCTCCATGTGAAGGGGGATGTAGCCTCGAGGAGTGATGAGGAACAGCAGCAGCAAGGATGAGGGAAACTTGTGCGATGGGTGGCTGGACGCCAAGCGATGGGCCCTCAAATGCCCCTGTAATTGAGAAAGCGAAGCTCGCAGCAGCCGCGCCTGGGAGGTGAGCCTACAACAGGGCCAAACGCACTTGTAGACACGTGGAAGACAGGCCATTGGCACACGATTGGCGCCGTGCTACTCGCGGGGCGGGATCGCCCCGACTCGCTCAAACTGGAGAAAAAAAAGCCTCCTCGCGGGGCGCACGACTCCGGGGAGGATGCCCGCCGGCGGCTCCCGCTGCCGTGCCGTGGCGCCTGGCTGCCTCAGCGCGCGCCGCAGCGGGCCGCCGCGGGCCGCGCCCCCCGCTCAGAGCGCCGCGGCGGCGGCGAGGGCGAGCGCGCCGAGGCCGCCCCAGGCCGGGCCCGGCGCCCCCGAGACGATCTGCGCCTGCCCCGGGCTCCACGCGGTGCTGTAGCAGCCGGTGGCGCCGTCGTGCGAGTAGGCGGCGCCCTCGGTGCCCGTGAGGCCGATGAGGGACATCATCCCCTCGTCCTCGTGCGAGAGGATGTGGCAATGAACGACCATGCTCCCTGTGAACCTGTCGACATTCATCCGGACCGTCGCGTCGACGTCGAGCATCAGAGTGTCGTGCCAGTCGCCCGCCTGGTAGTAGCCGCTGTCGCGGGAGCTCTCCCCGCTCATGTCCTGGATCTGGTACGGGTTCACGTGCAGGTGCAACGGATGTCCATTGAAAGAGACACTCCACTCGTACACTGACCCGACTGTGAACTCCGTAATTGGCGGCCACTCCTTCATGGTGTAACCGGTCCCGTTGTTCCCGGCCTTCATGTTCTGGTAGGTCATGCTCGTGCCTTCCCCGTCCCAGGTGACCGCGCGCAAGGGGCCCGAGAGCACCATGTGCGCCCCCGACTGCCCATTCGGCACGCTCGCCTGCCGAAGGTCGGCGAGATAGCACGGGCGGTCCGGCGAGAACACCGGGAGCTCCTGGACCGTGCCGCCGGCCGTCTCCGTGATGATGATCTTGAGGACGGTCACCTCTGCCACATCGGCGGTGGCATCGTCCGTGGGAGCGTCGTTGGTCTGGCCATCCGCGCCGGGTTCGACGGTGGTCGCGGGCCCATCGGTGGTCGTCTGGGGGTCTGACATCCTGCGGGAGATCTGGTCCGTGGGGAACGGCTGGGACCTCAGAACCGCTCTGCAGGGGTACGTCGCACAGGTGCAGGACATGGCGATGTCCGCGCGGGCCCCGGGAACGAGGTCGGCTCTGTCGATCTTCCTCGGGATCTCGTTGAGGTAGACGCCGTCTTTTGCGATCAAATACCACGAGCAATTGGCCAGCCCGCTTTCTCTCGGGTCCACGTGCAGCCTGAGGCCCTGCTGCACCGCCGCGAAGACGGTGCGCAGGCGGTACCACACGTGCGAATTGATGCTCATGGTCGGAGCGAGCTGGCCGTTCACGAGAAAGACGTTCTCGGCGTACCCTTCGGCCGCCGCGATTGCAGACGCGTTCTCCAGCAGACCGGAATGCGCCATCTGGGCGATGTTCTCGAGCGCGGCCAGATTGTGGTTCGATATGACGAGGACCTTCTCCACCATGCTGGCGTACGCCTCGGGCAGGTAGCCGGGAGGGTCGTCGACGATGAGCGCACCAGCGGCTCCGCCACCCGCCTGAAGGGCGGTGGCGTGGTGGTGGTGCGGGTGGTACCAGTGCGTGCCGCCCATGTGGTAATCCGGGATGGTGAACTCGTACTGCCGGCTTGCGCCAGGCTCCACCGCCAGGGACACGTCGTCGCTGGAGACGCCGCGCTCGTCCGGGCCCGCGGGGGAGGTGTGCAGGCCGTGCGTGTGAAGATTGGTGGTGGCCGCCTCGCAGTATTCTGTCCCTGTGACGTCGCAGCCGACATTGTGCTCGGCGGACAAGCTGTTTTGTAGCTTGATGCGGAGGGACTCGCCCGGCTGCATGCGGAACGTCGGCCCGTTGACGTACACGCGCGTCGGCAGATTGGGGAGAAGCAGGCCCTCTCCCATCTCGAGCGTGTACTCGCCGTCTGCTGCTTGGACCTCGGATGGGTAGGCCAACTCGTGATAACGGCGTCGCCCGGATGTGGCGGCCACGCCGGGCGCCAAGGCCACCGCCGCAACGAACGATTGGCGAAGCATGGTCCTGGCGCAATGCGCTCCCCGCTCGGACCTCCTCTTCAGCCGAGGCCTGAATCCAAATGGACTGGTGTCTTGAGCCAAAGTGGCTACGGACGGAAGCCTGCCGGCCTTCTGAGATGAAGGGGCCCAGGGACACACTAAGAAATAGACACAGATCTCAGGACTCCACATCTCTTCCATATTTTCTGGGCGTGCGTCTGCTCCCCCACTTCACATATTTGCTCTATTTTCATGAGAGCCGACGACTCTTGGTGACTGTGTTTTTCCCCCTCCTGATGACTTCGGAGACGGCTTAGGAAACTGCTAAGAAGGCCGGAGGCCTTCTGAGCCGGGCCTTCTGAGACGGCCCGCCCCCTCTGCATCCCCCCTGGGCGCGGCGCCGAACGGGCCCGGGCCGCCCCATGGGGTCGAAGTAGACGGGGTCGGTGGACCGCGCCGCATCGCCGATGCATCAGCGATGCGTCTCGAGGTTGAGCCCGATGAGGAGCAGTGGGCTCGCCGACAACCTTGTCCTCACCCCCCTCTTGGACGCCCCGTGGTCGGAGGAATAGCTGTCGATCGGGACGATCAGGGCACCCCTGGAAGTCTCTCGAGGAGGCGCAGCTGCCAGAGAGCAGGAACTTGCCAAAACTCCATCCGATAGTCAACGATCACGTTCGCGCACGCCCCCCTTCAGTCCTCCTGGACGCCCCCCGTCCGAAAGTCCTGAACGGCCGAGGAGGTACGAGGACGGCGCGCATAGGCGCTTCCAAAAAGGCAGGGGGCGGCGGTGATTCGCCGAAGGCGTCTTCGATACCCACGCGACCCCGGTGCGCGGAGCGCGCCAGGGGCGCTTCGGAAGCCCGCCGGCCCTTTTGTGTCCCTCGCCGATGCTCTCCGCGCAATCAACGCCCCTAAAGCAGCCAAGTATCTGTATTATGGCTGATGCGCATGGGGGATCGGATCACCCAAACCTAGCAGCTCCGATGGCATGCAGTGCCCAAGAGGCTCCCGCACCTCCATGTGAAGGGGGATGTAGCCTCGAGGAGTGATGAGGAACAGCAGCAGCAAGGATGAGGGAAACATGTGCGATGGGTGGCTGGCCGCCAAGCGATGGGCCCTCAAATGCCCCTGTAATTGAGAAAGCGAAGCTCGCAGCAGCCGCGCCTGGGAGGTGAGCCTACAACAGGGCCGAACGCACTTGTAGACACGTGGAAGACAGGCCACTGGCACACGATTGGCGCCGTGCTACTCGCGGGGCGGGATCGCCCCGACTCGCTCAAACTGGAGAAAAAAAAAGCCTCCTCGCGGGGCGCACGACTCCGGGGAGGAGGCCCGCCGGCGGCTCCCGCTGCCGTGCCGTGGCGCCTGGCTGCCTCAGCGCGCGCCGCAGCGGGCCGCCGCGGGCCGCGCCCCCCGCTCAGAGCGCCGCGGCGGCGGCGAGGGCGAGCGCGCCGAGGCCGCCCCAGGCCGGGCCCGGCGCCCCCGAGACGATCTGCGTCTGCCCCGGGCTCCACGCGGTGCTGTAGCAGCCGGTGGCGCCGTCGTGCGAGTAGGCGGCGCCCTCGGTGCCCGTGAGGCCGATGAGGGACATCATCCCCTCGTCCTCGTGCGAGAGGATGTGGCAGTGAACGACCATGCTCCCTGTGAACCTGTCGACATTCATCCGGATCGTCGCGTCGACGTCGAGCATCAGAGTGTCGTGCCAGTCGCCCGCCTGGTAGTAGCCGCTGTCGCGGGAGCTCTCCCCGCTCATGTCCTGGATCTGGTACGGGTTCACGTGCAGGTGCAACGGGTGTCCATTGAAAGAGACACTCCACTCGTACACTGACCCGACTGTGAACTCCGTAATTGGCGGCCACTCCTTCATGGTGTAACCGGTCCCGTTGTTCCCAGCCTTCATGTTCTGGTAGGTCATGCTCGTGCCTTCCCCGTCCCAGGTGACCGCGCGCAAGGGGCCCGAGAGCACCATGTGCGCCCCCGACTGCCCAGTCGGCACGCTCGCCTGCCGAAGATCGGCGAGATAGCACGGGCGGTCCGGCGAGAACACCGGGAGCTCCTGGACCGTGCCGCCGGCCGTCTCCGTGATGATGATCTTGAGGACGGTCACCTCTGCCACATCGGCGGTGGCATCGTCTGTGGGAGCGTCGTTGGTCTGGCCATCCGCGCCGGGTTCGACGGTGGTCGCGGGCCCATCGGTGGTCGTCTGGGGGTCTGACATCCTGCGGGAGATCTGGTCCGTGGGGAACGGCTGGGACCTCAGAACCGCTCTGCAGGGGTACGTCGCACAGGTGCAGGACATGGCGATGTCCGCGCGGGCCCCGGGAACGAGGTCGGCTCTGTCGATCTTCCTCGGGATCTCGTTGAGGTAGACGCCGTCTTTCGCGATCAAATACCACGAGCAATTGGCCAGCCCGCTTTCTCTCGGGTCCACGTGCAGCCTGAGGCCCTGCTGCACCGCCGCGAAGACGGTGCGCAGGCGGTACCACACGTGCGAGTTGATGCTCATGGTCGGAGCGAGCTGGCCGTTCACGAGAAAGATGTTCTCGGCGTACCCTTCGGCCGCCGCGATTGCAGACGCGTTCTCCAGCAGACCGGAATGCGCCATCTGGGCGATGTTCTCGAGCGCGGCCAGATTGTGGTTCGATATGACGAGGACCTTCTCGACCATGCTGGCGTACACCTCGGGCAGGTAGCCGGGAGGGTCGTCGACGATGAGCACACCAGCGGCTCCGCCACCCGCCTGAAGGGCGGTGGCGTGGTGGTGGTGCGGGTGGTACCAGTGCGTGCCGCCCATGTGGTAATCCGGGAGGGTGAACTCGTACTGCCGGCTTGCGCCAGGCTCCACCGCCAGGGACACGTCGTCGCTGGAGACGCCGCGCTCGTCCGGGCCCGCGGGGGAGGTGTGCAGGCCGTGCGTGTGAAGATTGGTGGTGGCCGCCTCGCAGTATTCTGTCCCTGTGACGTCGCAGCCGACATTGTGCTCGGCGGACAAGCTGTTTTGTAGCCTGATGCGGAGGGACTCGCCCGGCTGCATGCGGAACGTCGGCCCGTTGACGTACACGCGCGTCGGCAGATTGGGGAGAAGCAGGCCCTCTCCCATCTCGAGCGTGTACTCGCCGTCTGCTGCTTGGACCTCGGATGGGTAGGCCAGCTCGTGATAACGGCGTCGCCCGGATGTGGCGGCCACGCCGGGCGCCAAGGCCACCGCCGCAACGAACGAGTGGCGCAGCATGGTCCTGGCGCAATGCGCTCCCCGCTCGGACCTCCTCTTCAGCCGAGGCCTGAATCCAAATGGACTGATGTCTTGAGCCAAAGTGGCTACGGACGGAAGCCTGCCGGCCTTCTGAGCTGAAGGGGCCCAGGGACACACTAAGAAATAGACACAAATCCCAGGACTCCACATGTCTTCCATATTTTCTGGGCGTGCGTCTGCTCCCCCACTTCACATATTTGCTCGATTTTCATGAGAAGCGACGACTCTTGGTGACTGTGTTTTTCCCCCTCCTGATGAGAAGCTCTTTGTGACTTCGGAGACGGCTTAGGAAACTGCTAAGAAGGCCGGAGGCCTTCTGAGCCGGGCCTTCTGAGACGGCCCGCCCCCTCTGCATCCCCCCTGGGCGCGGCGCCGAACGGGCCCGGGCCGCCCCATGGGGTCGAAGTAGATGGGGTCGGTGGACCGCGCCGCATCGCCGATGCATCAGCGATGCGTCTCGAGGTTGAGCCCGATGTGGAGCAGTGGGCTCGCCGACAACCTTGTCCTCACCCCCCTCTTGGACGCCCCGTGGTCGGAGGAATAGCTGTCGATCGGGACGATCGGGGCACCCCTGGAAGTCTCTCGAGGAGGCGCAGCTGCCAGAGAGCAGGAACTTGCCAAAACTCCATCCGATAGTCAACGATCACGTCGCGCACGCCCCCCTTCAGTCCTCCTGGACGCCCCCCGTCCGAAAGGCCTGAACGGACGAGGAGGCACGAGGACGGCGCGCATGCACCGTACCATCTCTGGACTCCCCCTCAGGCAGCGCCCAATCGCGGTACGCTGCATAGTTTTCTTGATCCGGGGACCCAAAAACTATGCTCCGTACGCGGGTTTGTGCCGTGTCGACCCTGGCGTTGGTTCCTGACACCGCGGGGATCGTTCAACCTCTAACGGTCGGCCATGTCCGACACGTCAGATCGTTCAACGATGGGCCGATTCTGGTTCGCCGGCGGCGTTCAACTTCAACGGTCCACATGACGAGAACCTACCTGGGCCGACGATCGACGACGCCTCGAGAGGCGCCAGGGCGGCACGGTGCACTCGCGTCGTCCGCGGAGGAAGGGGGTGGCGGGAGGAGGGCGCCTGCAGCAGGCCCTGCGGGCCCGAGGGGCGCGCCGCCTGCTGCCCCCGCCGGGCCCCCAGCACCTCCTCCGGGACAGCCTCGCCGAGGGCCTCGCCGACGGGCCACAAAGGGGGGGGACCGTGCTACTCACCCCCCCCCGGCGATTCAAAGATGGGGCCCAAAGGGATGCGGCGTTTGGTGGGGCAGCACAACCCACCCCCGCCCCCAGCCAGCACCCCCGCTTCCCACCTGGTGATCCAGGAGGTCCTGGCTGGGGGTCCTGGCTGGAGATGCTTGGTGGCCACAGAACCGCCGTCACCCCCAGACAGGACCCCCTGGATCACCAGGTCGGGGGTGGGGTCCTGGCTGGGGGTGGTGGTGGTGGGCTGTGCCGCCGTCGCCACTCCGGATGGGAGAGAGAGCCCAAGCTGAATCTTACCTGCGTGAGGGCATTCGTCCTCAGAGTCCCATCCTTCAGGGCCCCATCTCTGAACCGCCGACCCCACATGGGGGACCCTATCGTGTCGGCAGCCTCTCAGAATGGGTGTCGGAACCGGTGGGCCCACCAGAGGGGGGCAAGGCCCGCAGTTCCCCAAGTTGTGGGTGGTCTGCCTCATGGATCGCCGCGACCTTGGCAAGGAGGATTCTGTCGATGTCCGCCCGCCCGCGCTCTGCGGGCCGCGCGGTGCGCGGGCGCGGGCGGCCCCGCAGGCTTCTGCTCGGGCGCGCTCGGCATGCGTCTGAGAAAGGTTTGGCCTGCGCGCCCCGTTCGCTTCATGCGCGGCTGGGGCCTACATTGTGGTGTGGCGAGGAGTACATGTGCGTGTGCGTGTATGCGTATGCGTGTATGCGTATGCGTGTGCGTGTGCGTGTGCGTGTGCGTGCGCGCTTGACTTGTGCTGTGCT